GAGCACTGTGTGATGAGAAAAGAGTTATGGGCATTCAGAGAGAATAAGAGAGAGTCTGGGAATAAAAAAAAAGTGATTTCCTTTGAGTCTAATTACTTTCAGGCAGAGAGGAAACAGCACTCCCGGTTCACAGTGTGACCAAACACAGATTAGTAACAGCCATGTTCAACATCTTCTAATGAGGACTGGGACGAGCTCCACTACAGCCGAGCCAAGCAAGCAGCCACTGAGAGCGGCGCATGCGAGCGCACCGGACAAGCACTCCAAGGGAGCTCTGACCCCCTGGCATGGGAGGAAATGGATTCATGGAGGGACAGAAGGAAAGAGAGATGGCGGGAGGAGGGAACAGGGCTCAGGGTCAACAGGGGCCCAGACACTGGCAGTCAGACTCACACCTGCACACAGCAGGCCTGTCTGCCCTACAACCTACAAAGGTTGTGTGTGTGTTCACTGTCTGGTTAGGCCTTAATGGAGGCATACGTTTTAGGACCACCATAATGGACTGCTCCTGTACAGAGGGTCTGGTGTAATTTTGCCTTTGATTACAGATTGGGGATGATTGTAGGAGGTCACTACAAACAATAACGTAGATTATTCTAGAAGGCACTGAAGCACTGGAAAAGACTGTTCTCAGTAACTGTATGCAAATGTGACAATACTTCCTTCTAAAAATGTTTTATACATGTGAACAATAAATACTAAAAAAAGATATGACTGTGGCTCACCCATGTCTGAACATTTTGCCCTAATGCAAATACTTTCTGGTTTTAGATCACAGAACCAAAAGGGGGATTTCCCTTTGGGAAAAAAAAAAAAGGAAAACAAGAACTGGCTCAAATGCGAACCAGCAGTCCTTGCGGTTCTAGTACTAGTCTACTTTCCAGCAAATTGAGAAACCACTGGAACAGTCACAGGGAGAGCAGTCAAAGCAATTGTATTATTATGTGTGCAACGGCGCCATTGTTAAGTTCAACAAAAAAAATTGTTGAATGATTTTAATTTTAACCAATTGTTAAAATCTAATTAAAAATGCACATAATTACAAAATATAACAAAATATAAAAATTAAATGTATACAATTAAATCTATTTAAATATTAATTATTTTTGTCATTATAATTAAAATCACATAAATAATGATTTCTTTTTAATTACACTCTACACATTCACTCATTTCATGCAAACCAATATAATAAAGTGTACCAGAAGTGTTTGTGCCACCTATACCTCATAAAATGACTTGTCATCTGACCAGTAGTGACTCTCGGCATCCTGCAGTATGCTGGTGGCACACACATGGACGCAGTAGCTGGTCAGATGCTCGTGAACGGCCTCTGTCACTTCCTGACTCCTCTGGACGGGCAGCAGTGTCAGAGGCCTGCAGTCGGACACATCAAAGCCATAAAGGCCAAATTTAAGAAGGCATGCATTTCATGGGTCAAAGTGCCATTAAGTGATTAATATCAGCAAATGGCCCCGATTATTACCTGCCAATCATTCGCCACCTCTGTACTCCCTCTCCTTCCCTCATTCCCACCATCTCTCTTACCCGCTCTCAAATCATAAGGCCACGTGTGCTGTCTGAATCAATCACTCTCTCCTATTCCATTTCTGTATTTAATTTCTCTCTCTCTCTCTCTCTCTCCCCTCCTCCTTCCCTTTGGCTCTTTGCAAGCTAACATCTGTTTTCGAACAAACACACATCCTTTGCAGATAAATAGTTCTGTCAGGACTCGCAGGCTCACGCAGGTCCCGCTCTTATTCTTTACAATCCAATTACGGCATTTTAGTATTTCTGGCAATGGCCTGACAATCTCCCTGACTGGGAAAAACCCGGTGGACAAACTATAAATTGAGAAGCTCCCCATCACAAATGTCTCTTGTTTTATGTACATTATGCAAAAGTTAAACTTCAATTTTCCAGACAGAACGGTCTTTTTTAATGTGCTGTTTTATTTATGTTTCTTGTTGTTTTTATAGTATGAAGAATTGAATAGGATTCAATGTTGAGTGCATACGTGACTTTTGAAACACTCAGTAGATGAGGGTGGAAAGGTTAAAGTCTACCTAAAGCATCTATCTAATCAATAAAATGGCTGCTTGTTTGCCCATCTGTTTCTCATATACTTTACATCTCAGGTAAAATATACTGTACATTTATTTATTGTGGTAGTAAACAGTTCATTTTAACAACAGACAACAGCAGATTCAAACCACTACAGAGATCTTTGCAGGATCAACAGCAGGACAAAAGGTCAAAATGATATTCTGATAGTCTTAGATTATGTGAAGTTCCCATTTCAGTGAACTTCCAGTGAATTTCCCATTCCCCAAATTCAGTGATATAAAATTAATTAATTTAGCAATTAATTAAATTCATATATTATATTCAATACAATTAATTGATAATTAATGTAATTAATGCATCAATTAATTAAATTAAAGTATATAACTTAATTGAACGTTCTAAATGTGAAATAAATACTATGCACTGACTCCAACCTCTATATTTTCTGAACAGTTTTTGGATTCTCTTAGCTGTAATAATTTTTTCAGATATTTGTTCACAAGGCTGAAAGGTTGGTGGCAAAGCATATGCTCAAACTACTTTTCTGTTCATTTTGCCTTACATTTTGGATCAAATTTTATTTTGAATGTCTTAAGACCTTATTTCATCTGTAGATAATTATATTCCCTATAGTATATATTTTTATAGTTGTATCATAAGCATATTAATGAGCGACTATATAATTCTAGTTAAACAGATTAAGAGTAAAATGGTTTGATTTTGATTGTGCATGTTCAGCATGTGTCACCTCTTTCAAAGCACCTACTTACATGCGATTGGTGTCCCCTAGCTGGCTCTCATAGTAAGCCAGTCTGTGGTGGATATAAGTGCTGGAGGCCAGTATGGTGGGAAGGTTCTTGAGGGGTGAGGAGTGAGGAACCTCCCTTGCCCTCTCGTCCAGCCTGGTCAAGAGAGCCGAGGTCAGCTGGCCACACAGCTCTATGTAGCAGGAGCACACAGGGTGCAGAGCATCTTCTTTACACACCACAGCCAAAGGGAGGAGAGCATCCAACTCCCCCATCACATCTGCACAGAACTGCAGGAGGACAGCCAAGATATGCATGTAAAATACATCCAAAATACAAAAACTGACAGAAATGTATAGAATTATCCTGATCAATAAACACGGATATTGATAGTTCCATATATAAACTTCCATATAGTTCCATATATAAAATTCCAGGGCCCTAGCTGAAGCTTGAGGGTGCCCTCCCTCCCCTGTAGGTGTAGGAACACTAAAGCAGGTATGGTGATCTAAATGAGAGCAATGGTCCATTTGCTCATGCTGGCTTTGTGAGTCTGGAACCAGAGCCCTACTATCTACGGTTTATTTCGGCAGTAGGTATGAAGAGTGACCCCAGTACTCAAAGCTGATCTGAACACATAGGTATTCACACTTGGTGACACTGATAAGCTAAGCTGGTCCAGGTATCCCACCGCCAGGACTGGTGTGACAATCAGCTCCCTTACAGAGGCAGCAACATCTACAAATTGCAGGGACTGCGCCAATGCTAGCAGCAAAATAGCTAATGTATTACCAGTGCATGCCACACTAAATGCAAATGCCTAACTCGGGAGTTACCAGCAGGCATATGGCTAAACCTGACCTCCACATGATTAACCATGCTGGCCAGAATATGTGCCACAGAGTTGGGTATGGGTGAACTGGGGCCTGACTGATTCCCCCAAAAGCTGTCAACAAAGTCTTTGCAGTATGGCATAGCAATCTCTTTCAGGTGCCATGTGAAAGAGTGCATTCGCCGTTGTGGGTTGCACTACAAAATCCAACTCTATATGGGTCCCTGCCATGTTTAGAGTGGCTGCCATGACTAGCCTAGAGCGTGTCATGGGCACCTGGGGGCAGAAGAGGCAGGGGCAGGACCAGACTACTCTCCAGATGCTGCAGAGACCAGAGCTGAACAAGGGAAATAGCCTGGACAAACCTCCCAGATACAGCCAAAGGCTCAGTATCATTGCTTGTGCACTACTGGTAAGTGGCAATTAATAGATTTCAGCTGAGCCAGGTTAGACCAGGAGTGTTCAGCTGATTTGCAGTCAGGGATATACTTATTTTGTGAGCTATCCAAATATTTAAATGTGTACAATAATATTTTTCTATTTATTAGAGGTATTTGAACATTTTTTAAACTAAAACAGGCTATGTTTGTGAGTTATAGACATTTGGATTAAATTCATCCAATTCAGGTGACCTGTCAGACAGACTAACAACTAGAACTCTAAATGAGTGTAATAATTTTCATAAATTATGATGGATCGTAACAAAATATTGAAGAAAAAAAAAACATGTGGACCCCCTGTCTATTAGACTCTGAGTCAAGGATTAAATCTGCTGCCATTGCGTGTGTGTGCATGCCATTTTGACATAGGCTGCAGTCAGGAGTCAGCACAGGGATGTCCAAGTCATGCCAAGTCATGTAGTTGGCAGAAGATGTGGAATATTCGAAGGAGAAAACGCAGAGGGAGAAACTGACTCAGCAGGAAAGAGATGAGCGGTAAGTGCTGCTCACTGTATGCTAAATACAACTACCAGTGGAGATGAATGCAGTAAACAAAGAGCAGCACCAGACTCGCTAAATGCAAGGCAGTAAATTTGTGTTTTCAGTGTGAGACCTCTACCATCTCTATACCCATCATGCAAGTAATTCTGGAGCTGACTGTATAATCTCAAAGACATTTACGAACATACGAGTAGCAAAACCGTACCTTGAATCACTACCAATAGACACAGTGAGGGTATATAGCTGTTATATTGTTTATGTTGTTGTTGTTCTTGTTCTTTCAGCTGCTCCCGTTAGGGGTTGCCACAGCGGGTCATTGGTCCGCATATTTGATTTGGCACAGTTTTTATGCAGGATGCCCTTCCAGACACAACCCCTCGCCAATTTCTGTGCAATCCCAGTGGTTGGGGTAGGTTCCCTGGCCTGGAATTGAACCTGGGCCACGGCTGAGAGAGCACAGAGGTCTAACCACTAGCCCTCCAGGAACCCTAGCTATTATATTGTATATATTGCTGGAAAACAGACATTTTCTCAGACACTTCTTTTACAATGTACACTACAGAAAAGAACAGAAAGCAATCACATGGACAGATAAGCAGTCGAAATTCAAAGAGAAATACTTGCATTTGATCTCCTGAAATAACTTTAACACAAGTAAAATTTCAGTGTGCGTTAGATTAAAGTGCCTGAATCATTCGGGCAGAAATGGATGTGAGAGAAGTCAGGCTATTCAAACACTTGGAGCCTTCTCTCCTGGGGCACTTGGAAAGAAGAGCAATACTTTATCTCATGTTTCCACATTTGTCCTGAAGAAAGGTTTCTCTTTGCAAGCCCTGAGTGATTATGAATATGTGTGTATGCCTGCAAATAAAAAAAGAGTGCCTCAGGGGGCACATCACTTGAAAGAAAAGACTCCTAAGGGTTATCAGTGAAGAAGCCTGCCCCAAATTGGAACATGCACACAACATTTTCAGTCTGCTTCCTCCTCCTCCTCCTCCATCTCCTCTTTCCAAAATGAAGACATCACCCCAGACCCTTCCCAAGCACCCCAAGCAGCCCTCTGTTCCCTCCCTCCATCCACACACACTCACTTTGAAAGAGCAGCACACCAGTATGAATGACACTGGATCAGGCCATACCAGTGAGTTCACTGCCAAATTTATACACCTATAGAAGTGAGTTATAGCACCAGGCATCTTGAAAGCAGTAAAACATGTGTGTATACCATATATACACTCCTTGGGAGTCACCATAGCCTGAGGCCTCGTGAACACAGGCAACAACGGCACGCTTTTTAAATGGAAACATTCCAATACTATCAATCAGACAGTGCACAAGTAAGTGAGGGGTGACTTCATGATTCTCCACTAAATATCAGCACTCACCTACCCTAGCCTCTTGCTTCATGCTGTCGGAGAAAGACATACACAGTACAGTAAGAGCCCCTGCCAAGCCTGGAGCCCCAGTGGAGAGAAGAGGCCTCGAAACAATGAGCCAGTTCGACAGTAGAGTCAATAACCAGCTCGCTTTGGCTGTTAAGAGCTTAGAAGGAGTGTGAAAGAGGTAGGTGAAAGTACACAGCCGCACGCTCGGCACTCTCTCAAGCCGAAGGTGATGAGGACTCAGGAGGTGTCTGTGAGATTTATGGCTTTCTCAAGTCCATTGCTCGGGTTCTGAGAACCTTTAACTAATACAGATCAAAGATATGGATCCCACCAGGACAGCCACTGCAAGGTTATTCCTCTGTAAGCCTATAAAACATTTAAAAGCTATACTCTGTTGCAGACTTTTTAACAGCTACTTTTGAATGGTGCTGAATTTTGGGCCCTTACTGTGAGGCAGAAGGTTAAGGGCGATGTGCAGCCAGCGTCAAGACAATGTGCTCAATAATTCGGGCATGATTTCAGAGTGATAAATGGCTCTCCCAAACATTATGCGGGACAGGAGCCCTGGAAATACTAGGAATCTGAACCAAGACATGAATGTATGAATATGAAAGTGTGAAATATTGATTCTATTAAGGCGTTTGGAGTGGCTATGCTCTGAAGCCAGTCCTGTGGTAGCGTGCTTCCACCTGCTTATGGTCCAGTGCGGTATGTGTCAGAAATGGTTGGGGTTCTCTGAGTCTCAGGGCAGCAGGGGATGCAAATAAATGCACGTTGTAACCTTTGAGTCGAGCGCTGCTCATTTCGAAGCACTGACCTACACGGAAATGTGTTGTACAGGTCTTGAGTGTGGACAAATTCTGACACTTGTTTGTGATGTGGTTCAGCGAGCGCCAACTGCTCCATCAAAGTGCCGGAATTAAAGTCAGGATCAACATTACGAAGCTGTTTTATTCAAATGCTTGTATCGACATGAGAAGGATCATCGGTGCTGAAATGTCGATCACAGGGCCTCCAACATCAGCTTGAGAAACATCAGCCATGTGCACATTCATATTAAGGTTCATTTTTGGTTTTAGTCTTTTGATGTAAATGAGCTTTCAAATGGATTCAGTTTTAGGCATGTTTTAATGATTAAGTTCAGTTGCTTTGACTCCCATCAAAGTAGCAGATATATTTTTTTTAAATGATTTAGTCACATTTACTGTATGTGCACATTGATGAAACAGAACTAAACAATGTCAAACACTTTAAAACAGCATTCTTATCCTTTCCTTGTGTACAAAAGAATTCCCATTGTTTTTTAAAATTTGTTTTTAAGGTTAGATAAGAGAGCCATGTAAGATGAGAGCAATGTGAGTGGTTGGACAGTGGATAGTGCTGCTGCCTCACAGTTCCAGGGTCCCAGGTTCGATCCTGACCTCCAGAGTTCTGTATCTGTGTGGGTTTCCTCCAGGTTCTCTGGTTTCCTCCCGCCTCCCAAAGACTTTCCAGTAGGTGAACTGGCTAATGTAAAGTGCCCTTAGGTGTGAGCGTGTGAATGTGTGTGTATGGTCCTCTGCGATTGACTAGCGTCCCACCCAAGGTGTATGCCTACCTCACACGCAGTGTTCCTGGAAATTGGCTCCAGATCCACCATGACCCTGACCAGGATAAAGAGGTTACTGAAGATGAATGAGTGAATGATTTATGTTTTTAGATGAAAATGTGAACATTTGTCAAACCGAACCAACTAAACAAATTCAAACACAAAATTCTACAACTTTTGAAAACTTTTTCGGGGTGTCAAGGGTTATTTGGGTTTGTTTGTAGTGTGTGTGTGTGTGTGTGTGTTTTGTGAAGTTGAAATGTGCGATGTATTAGGGAGGCTGCATTAGTTCAGAAAATAAGGAAATGTTTACAGATAACTCCTTTAGATCTCTGGGATTTAATCTTTCAAATCTAAGTAACTTCAGTAAAAGAACAGCAATATTTTCCAGCTTGAAAATGAGTGCCTTTAAATTTCATACTTTTCCAGACTTCCCAGAAACCCTGACACAATGACGCTGGAAAAAGTAAAATACGGTTTCCTTCTGGGGTGAGATTTACATCCAGAGCAGCTCATCTTCACGAACTATGTATGCAACACAGAAACACATGTGCAACATGCAACATGGAAGAAAGTCAGCACTCCATGATGATCCAGCGATGATCAGTAACGTGCCATAAGAATCACTGTTAATGTCAAAGTCCAGATGTGTTTGCTGCAGTTGTGCCAACCATTTGTACTGTTTTATTTCTTCATGACAGCATTTCGGCGTATTGTCTTTACAAGTATTTTCTTTTCAGCCTATTTGAGGCTCTCGACAACGCATATTTAAAAACTCTTTCTCCATTTTCATCTGTAATGCGTTTCTTTTATGACTTTAAACACACACGTGTTCTCAGCAGGCCGATGGCGAGACCCAAACGACATGCACTCTGCCTAGTTCAGAGGCCCACAGCTGGCGTTGAGACAGGCCATCAATTCCTCACACCAATGTGAGCACACAGCTTTCTAAACAGGGAAAATCGCAATGAGGGATAAAATGAGGCGAGACATCCTGGACCAACACAGGAAACAGCTGGACACGGACTGAACTGTGGAACTTCAGTCCCCTAAGACGGAGCAGATGTCACTATGGAAGATTCATGAATGGAGCTCAATGTCATTGTACATCTAATGTCATCGAAAGCTAATGAGTACTAAATAAAGCTAACATGGAAAATAAAGACATTGTGAAGCATCTCTGACTTCCTCTGTATAGCTTGGCTGTAATTCCACCACTAACATGCTATAACATATCATATTGGGATGCAACCAGTTTTCACACCACAGACGCACAGATGAAACTTACCTTAGCGATCATCTTGGGCTTGTCTCTCTCTGGACAGGGTTCAGCTTCCTGTCTGAGAGAAACACAGGCTAGAGGGATAAGAGATGAGGTGGAGCTATGTGTCCTCTCCTCCTGCTGTAGACTCTTACTGCAGACATCTTCCAGAAACATCTTCACACCGTGAGCCATCTGAGGAACCAGTACCCGAAATGCAGCCCTCCACTCAAACTCCAGACACACCACCTACACACACAGATACAGCACCAGAATTAATCAGGTCAGTAATACAGTAGAACGTAATGAGCCTTTTTTTAAAAAATTTAAAATACTGAATACAATCATGAATCAAAATAGGAAAATAAACAACGATGGGGTGATGTGATGTCTATTTTCCAATAAAAGCATGTCCCGGAGGGTTTCACTCTTCTTCTACCACAGCAATTTGTCAATGCTTACATTTTTTATTTATTAAACAATGACATTTACTTTTTATCTTGTTTATAGGTACATTTAATGTTCATCCGCAGAAGTTCATTCCTGTGATCACTTACATTATAGCAGCTATAAAGAGTCATCACCTCACACAGCTTCTGTATTTTTCTTTCTCTCTTGAAGTTAATAAGACAAAGACCTCTATGCTGCCGGAAACATTATGTCAGAAACATAAAGGTATAGCTTTATCTCTGACTGTTACAAAGTGCTGACATTGGAGACTCCTTCCAGAAATGCTAAATACATGTCTCCTTATAGAAAACTTCACCATATCTACATTTTCACACATTTTTTGTTGTAGTTGTTGTTTATTAAATCTGTTTATACGGAACAGCCACTGTACATGTCCCTGTGTAAGTTGTTACTAGAGAAGCAAGAGCATTAATTTTAAAAAAAAAAGAAAGAAAGAAAGAAAAAAGAAAAAAAAAAAGAGATTTGCCTTGCAGCTAATATCAGAGCCATGCTTTCACAGAAAATTCATTAACACATTCTGACCAATCAGAATCAAGAATTCAACAGTGCTGGTATAAAGTGAGTCACGTTAAGGCCATGCACATAATAATTCCCATTTCTGATTGGTTGTCTTTCTTTAGAATAAGAACTGGTATTATAGTTTTTACTTTATAATCAAAACTATAGAGGGTTATAGAGTAATATTTTTGACACATCCCAGTTTCACTTTAATGATACTTAAGTTCATTTTAGCTCTGATTTCTTCTGTTCAAGTACATATTCAAGTTGCTACACTCTTGGA